CCATGGGGCAGTTCTGCTTTGTCCTGTAGTGTCATTATGAGTCAGAATTGACTCGACAGCAGTGGGTTTCTACATTTGGAGAGGGCAGTGGTGGCTCAGTGGTAGAATTCTCACCTTCCGTGCAGGAGACCCAGATTTGATTCCCTACCAGTGCACCTCAAATGCAGCCACGACTTGTCTTTCAGTGGAGGCTTGTGTGTTGTTATGATGCTGAACAGGTTTCAGCAGAGCTTCCTGACTAACATGGGCTAGGAAGAAAGGCCTGGAAATCTACTTCCAAAAATCAGTCAGTGAAAACCCTGTGGATCGCAACAAAAACTAAAAACCAAATCCTTTGCTGTCAAGTTGATTCTGACTCATAGCGACCCTATAGGACAGAGTCTGACTGCCCCATATGGTTTCCAAGGAGCAGCTGGTGGATTCGAACTGCCAGCCTTTCGGTTTGCAGCCGTAGCTCCTAACCACTGTACCACCAGAGTCCAATGGAGCACGACAGTCTGATCCATAGGGTTCACCATGAGTCATGTGTCGACCTGACGGCAGCTAAAAATAACATCATACATATAGAGGGGATCCTACTAAAACAAGAAATTTTTTTCTTGAACAAATAAAAATGCATATACTACCTGGGAAGATTACTGGCCGAATTTGAAAACTGATCATTGTATTCTGGTGAGTTTTGTCGTTTGGCTTCAGTCCCCTTCCTTTCCTGCTAGGATCAGTTACAAATTTCAAATCACTGTAGTAGTGTAGCTATTTGACGACATTTCTTGATATTAGTTTCTCTTCCTTTTGAGTATTTTAATTCTCCCCCAGTCAATCCAAGGACATCCTAATTTGTACACTATAGTTATGTATTTTGGTACTAATTAAAACTAAGGAAGCACACTTCCAAAATAAAACAGATTTACGTGAAATTGAAATACTACTGTGCAGGGCTTAATGTAGTGTACTCTGTAATACATTTGAAATACAGAGTAGGTGATTAGGGTGGAGGATGGGGATGTGTCTGAAAGAATAGGAAGCACATTGGTTGAGTTAAGCAAGGCAAGGGGGCTAGGGAAACTGGCAAGGTTCATTTTTTTGGTTAATGCCTTTTTATTGCCTTCCTGTAATGTGCCATGAACACTCAGGTCAGTGAGGACTCTCAGCTTTTGTCTCCTCTCCCAGACAGTTCTGTAAAACTAGGTAGTTTAGAGTTTGGATAGTGGAAAATACCTCCTGAAGATGGGGATCAGCGGCAGCCTGTTTGTGTACCCCTTTCTTATTACTTTGATGTTCTTACAACCCCAAATAGACACCATTATAATTTTTCCCCTCTAGTTTATGACAATAATCTCATCTAGAGGCCCGATTCAGTCCTTTCTCTCAAATCTGACATTCAGCTTGTAGTCTTTGTGATCAGGGTATCAGGGTGGTAGAAATGACAGTGAAGGATACAAAATAGAAGGCAGAATTAGGCATAGGACTCCAAATTAGCAGAGGCAATCAACAAAGAAAACCAGATAACAGGAAAGCCATAATGAGTTAATAAAAATGCTTGTTTAATAGGACTCACAGAGTAAAAGGAAACTCTCAATCCCTACCCCTAGTCAAAAGAAGAAATACTTGGGACACATCACAAGTAGAAATTCCAGACTTGAAGGGTATATTTTTAGATAGAGCATTCTTTCTCAAGTTGCTTAGTTAAGTTAACCAAGATTACTTATACCCCGGGACGGATTACCCAATAAGCAAGGTATACATGCACTTAATTTCACTGCACCTGAAAACCAGGTGAAATTGTTCACTGCAGATTAATAAGTAAACACAGTTAAGCCTGTGTGTACCTTGCTTACTGTAAGCCAAGCTGGTGCATGGTGTGCTTACTGTTTAATCCATCCCTGCTTATATCTGTATTAGTAAAACTACATTTTGGAATACCTTAACTTTATTCTGAGAGTCCTTGGGTGGCACAAATGGTTAAGCACTTGAGTGCGAGCTGAAAGGTTGGCGGTTTGAACACACCCAGGAGCAACTCAGAAGACAGGCCTGGAGATCTGCTTCCTAAAAGGTCACAGCCTTGGACACCGTGGAGCAGTTCTACTCTCTACACACGAGGTCGCCATGAATTGGAATCAACTTGACAACAACTAACCAACAACAACAGCTTTATTCTGAACCCTTCTAGTTTCCATTTATTTTAAGTGGGCCTTTACATGTGCAGATTCAGTTGACTCAATGAATAGATAATGAGATTATTTTGAATTATACACTTGGGAATATTTCCTTTGAAAAATATAAAAGTAACGTGTGTGCTTGAAAAATTCAAATAGTACCAAACAAAACTAGACGAGTTGCTGTCATGTCAGTTCTGACTCGTGGCAACCCCATGTGTTTCAGAATAGAACTGTGCTTCCCAGAGTTTTAAGTGGCTGTGCTTTTTTGGAAGTAGATTGCTGGACCTTCTTCCAAGGCCCCTCCGGGTGATTCAGACCACCAACTTTTGATTAACAGCTGAGTAGTTAACTGTATGTGCTACCAGTAAAAGTTTCCCTTCCTGGCCACTCCCCTTTTTATCCCCAGTCCTTCAAAGGTAACCACGATGGTCTCTTGGGTATGGTTCAGAAAAATTTCATACAAATAAAAGTATGTAATTTTTTGTTTCATTTATTCATCCCTCTCTCCCTCCTCCCCCCCTTTTTTTTCTTGCTGAAGCATTTTAAAACAAATCTCAAACAGCATATCCATTGCTTGTAAATACTTCCACATGTATCTCCAACAGATAAGGATTTGAAAAAAATGAAACAAAAAAAAAACTGCAATGTCATTATCACATCTAACAGGATTAACAGTTGTTCCATAATATTATGAAACACCCAGGCTATACTCAGTAATTCCGCAATAATCTCAAAAGTGTGTTTTTACAATTTTTTTTACATTGCTTTCTTCAAATTCAGCTTCAAAGAAGGTTCACACCTTGCGTTTGTTTTTATATGTCTCTTAAGTCTCTTTTTATCCATAACCCTTGCCCTTTTTAAAATGCCATTTACTTGCGGAAGAAACTGGGTCATTGCCAGTTGGGTCATTGTCCTGTAGAATTTCCCACGTTCTGGATTTGGCTGATTCCATCCCCTTGGTGTGTTTAACATGTTTCTTTATCACCTGTGTTTCCTGTAAACTGCTGGTTATATAGAGGCTTGATTAAATTCAGGTTTACATTTTTTTTCCTAAGTATACTTCATAGATGGCATATCGGAAGGTGTCTTGGTCATCTAGTGCTGCTATAACAGAAATACCACAAGTGGATGGCTTTAACAAAGAGAAATTTATTTTCTCACAGTCTGGTAGGCTAGAAGTCCAAATTCAGGGTGTCACCTCCAGGGAAAGTCTTTCTCTGTCTGTGGGCCTTCTCATCAATCTTCCCTCAGAGTAGGTGCTTCTCTTTGCAGGGACCCCAGGACCAAAGGATGTGCTCTGTTCCTGGCACTGCTTTCTTGGTGGTATGAGATCTCCAGTTCTCTGCTTGCTTCCCTTTCCTTTTATCTCTTGTAAGATAAAAGGTGGTACAGGCCACACCCTAGGGAAACTCCCTTTACATTGGATCAAGGATGTGACTTTAGTAAGGGTGTTATGCAGTCCCACCCTAATCCTCTTTAACATAAAATTAAAATTACAAAATGGAGGACAACCACACAATACTGGGAATCATGGCCCAGCCAAATTGATACACGCATTTTTGGGGGGACATAATTCAATCCATGGCATTAGGCGCATGATGTCTGGTTGTTCGATTTTTAGTGATGTTAAGATGGATCAATGGTTTTAGGTGTTATCAACTAGATCTATCCTTTATAAAGTTCCCCATCAACCTTCCACCTAATGGTTTTAGCAGCAATTGATTCTCATTTCTTAAAAAGCAAAAATAGAACCATCCCAGATGTACAGTTTTGTATCTTGCTTTTATCCACTAACTCTAATACGTTGAATACGTTTTTATATCAGCACCTATAGATCTAGCTCATTTTTTAAAATGGCTTCATATATTTAATGAGTACATTACAGTGTATTTACCCAGTTTGGAAATGCTTCTGATTCCTCCTAATTAAGAAAGGAAAGTCTGAGCCCTCACCTCTGCTTGTTTTCATTTCTAATATCCCCAAATGTCAGAGGTCAGTGTGGCACTGAGCAGTGTAAGTTGGTAGACCAGAAGTTTAGCAATACAGTGTCACAACAGCGACCCTGCTCTTTGCGAGTGGTGGAGGAGAGAGTGATCTTAGCTTTAGTTGGAGGCGATCGTTGGTCTGTTTGCTTTCCTGAAAAACTGAAGTGTTTGTGGTTGCCTCGTCGTAGCTCTTCCCAAAGTGAGCAACAAGGCTCAGTCACAGCGCAGAGAAAAGCAGCAGTATCTTTAGTGGCAACCAGAGGGACAGAAATAAGAGGGTAAAAAGCCCTGACCTTAAGACCCCCTGATGGCTAAATTGGCAGCAGCATCTGCTGGAGCCATAACTGAACAAGTCAGCACTAGGGATTCTGAAATTTTTCTCCGTTGGAGTTCAGCTTAGGAGGTTCATTGATGGCCGGTAGGTTTTCAGTGTAGAGCAGTGCGTTATTTTCTGTCTCATTTGATTTGTCTGTATTTCCCTCCATCTTCCAAGTTCCAGGAATTCAGATCTGGACTCGAGTCTGGCGCTTTCCTTCAGGAATCAAAGCTGCTGAGCTCAGGCTTCTCTGACTTTGTACAGTACCTTCGCTAGGACAGGCCACGCAAGGTCTGTCATGGCTTCCTGAAGTAAGACTTTCACAAAGGCAGGATGACCAGATGGAAATAACTAAATGAATGTGGGTTTTTACTTGAAGAAACACATAATAAAATTTCCTTATGGGTAAAATCCTGGAGTTGCCAAGAAGAAAGCAAATCATTTTTAGTGTTATTTATGTAGCAATGAGTGTGAATTAGTGCTCAATGCAGTGTACCTTTTTGTTTTCCTCAATTTTTCTTTCTTTCTCCTTTTTCCAAGCCTCAGAAGAGGAAAGCGGAAAGCCTTTCCAGTGTCCAATATGTGGTCTGGTTATAAAAAGGAAGAGTTACTGGAAGCGGCACATGGTGATTCACACAGGTCTAAAAAGTCACCAGTGTCCGCTCTGTCCATTCCGGTGTGCTCGCAAGGACAATCTCAAATCCCACATGAAGGTAAGGCATCTGTGGACGACCTCACTGAGAGGTAGACATAGTCAGAGCTCTTGCACATGGGTCCCGCAGGAGGCTTCCAGTCAGGAAGAGAGGGCCATTGGTGGCGCAGGTGGACTGCATTGCTTAATGTAACAAAGGAGAATAGATGCAGGGAAAGAGAGCTGAAATGGGTCTCCTTGTAAAGGTATTAATATCCATTTTGCAACCAAGAACTTTAAGGCAGAGAGAATCTTTAATATCTAAATAATATATGTAGTGTAACCAAAAAAAAAAAAAATGAAACCAAACCAGTTGCCATTGAGCTGATTTTGACTCATGGCGACCCCACGTTTCAGAGTAGAACTGTGCTCCTCAGTGTTTTCAATGGCTGTGGCCTTTTAGAAGTAGATCACCGGGCCTTTCTTCCGAGGTGCCTCTGGGTAGATTCAAACCGCCAACCTTTCATTTAGTAGCCAAACACTTAACAGTTTGTGCCACCCAGGGACTCCATATGTAGTATAGAGCCAGCATTTCCTGTAAAGGACCAGTAGCCTAACCTTGCCTTGCATTTTCTGGCGCACCACAAGGAACAGTTTGCAAAGAGCAAGAAGCAGGGAAAGTCAGGTATAGACCAAAGTACATTAGGACTAGAGAGCTGCTTGACCTGAGCACCAAAGAGAAGGCTTTTGGACCTGCTTCCCTTCCCAGAGAAATTGCCCCCTTCTGCTATTTCGTGGAGTCCCTGGCCAGTGCAAACAATTTATGTGTTCAGCTGCTAACTTAAAGGTTGGAAGTTCAAGTCTACCCAGAGGTGCCTCGGAAGAAAGGCCTGGTGATCTACTTCCAAAGGGTCACAGGCACTGAAAAACCCTATGGTGCACAGTTCTACTCATGACACATGGGTCGCCATGAGTTGGAGTTGACTTCACAGTAACTGGTGTTGGTGGTGCTATTGCTTTGCTCTTCAGCTTGCAAACCCAGAAGAACACTTAGAATCACCTTATTGGAAGGGTAAAGACATTGAAAGGCTCTTTGTCTTTGACATTACTTAGCCCCATGAGAGGCTTGGGAGCCATTCTTGACAAGACTGATAGTCGTCCTGGAGGTTGTCAGTGTTTAAGCTATCCTAATTCCCAGGATTACACTTACCAAATATCAAAGGACATTGTTTTCAATGTTCAATTAAAAACGTATGACCTGGGGTTTGTGCCTGTAATGCACATGTAGAGAATTCACTAGAATCTATGTGCTACTCCTCTGTGAGATGTAGGAAAACTTTTTTTTAATAGCTTCTTTTGTGTTTTTTTTAAATTGTGCTTTAGGTGAAAGTTTACAGAGCAAATTAGTTTCTCATTAAACAGTTAATACACAAATTGTTTTGTGACATTGGTTGCAAGGAAAAACTCTTAAGTTATGCAGAAATCTTTTTTAGCAGACGTCTTTAATACTAAGGGTTTTGTCTAGAATTCAAGGAGAAAACTGATGAGTTAAAAGCATAGGCTTTTGAATTTGGTAAGCCTGACTTTAAATCTTACTGTTCAACTTATCTAGCTAATTGGCCTTGAGCAAGTTAACCTTTAGACACTCGATTTTCTCATCTGTTAAATGGGAATAATAATGTTTGCCTGCAAGAGTTGTCCTTAGTACTTAAGGAGATAATTTCGGCAAAGTGTCTGATACAGAAAATGTTGAACATCTTAATATTAACATCTTAATATTAACAACCATCATTCTCGCTAAGTTTTAAATATGGTTTTGCTGTCAACATTGTTTATAAAGTGTCTACTTTTCTGCCATAAAAAGTGTAGTACATAATTAAGACTTTTGCTTATTTAAAAATCTTGTAGTCTAGTCTAATCCTTCCATAATCACTGTTCAGAACAGTAGCTCTAAAAAGATCTGGTCAGCCAGAACCTCAGCTGACTTTAGGAAATAGCTTAGAAGATTAAAAAAAGAAAAAATGAAATCTATGATGTAGCTTGTTTTCTATCATTTGCCTTTTTCTAAGATTTCCCATTGCCTGGGAGTAGCCTGCCCTTCATCTTGGGAATCTGCTTAACCAGGAGTCTGGTTGGTTGAATTTTACTGAACCTACTTTTAGGTCTTTACTTTAACCCTCATCTTCCATCACCACTCCCCAAAGTAAAATACCATATTTAAAACCTGCAAGGTGGATTTCATTAGCAGGATTAGACTTAAAAAGAAATGCCTTTAAAACTAAAATTCGGTTCAGTTCCTCTGTGTTCAGCTTACGAGCTGTGGCTAGAAATCAGGTCTACTGAATTTAAAGCTTCAGTGAGCAGAAAACTTGCATCCAGCCTGACACCTTGTGAGCTTGGTTTCAGCTCAGGGTCACTTAAAACAATCTATTTATAAACCTGTGGAAAAAAAAGCTGGGTTTTCAATAGCAGGAACTACTGACCCCGAAACTACAGGGAGATGAGTTGGGTGCCTTGATGATACAGACGGCGGCCATGACGGTGTTACAGATGAGAGCCACAAGGGCTTTGTGGGTCGTGGAGTCTTAGAATGCTTTCAGAACAAATCAGTAACCAGTACAATAAAGCAGTTGTGTGAAATGACTACTTTATTCAAACTCATGGTGTCCTAACCTGTTGAGCTACGACTCCAGCTTTTGATAAGGGAAGTGTGAGACAAGCTCATGCAAGTTTAATTTTATCAAATGGGGTACTCTTTCTTCTGCCTGCTCTCTACCTCATTTGTGGGACTTTATTTTTTTTTTTTAATCAAAGAATTTATGATTTTACTTTCTAACTAGAGATACTTTCATTTTACAAATATTGTCTATACATAAATAAAATGGGTGTGGTCTTACCCATAGATATCCTCAGCTATGTTCACCAGTAAAACCCCAAACTAAATCCATTGCCGTTGAGTCAATTCTGATTCGTAACAACCCTATAGGACAGAGTAAAACTGTCCCACAGGGTTCCCAAGGCTGTAAATCTTTACCGAAGCAGACTGCCCCATCATCTTCCTGCGCATGAGCTGGTTTCTAACCCCCCACCTTTTGGTTAGCAGCCGAGTGCTTAACCACTGTGCCACCGGGGTTCCTTAATGTTCACCAGTAGACTACAAAAATTGATAGATTTTTCTAAAAAGAAGTTTGCCTAAGAAGTGAGGACAGTATAGCCTATAGATCATGATCTCAAAACTTTATTAAGATTCTCAGTTCCACAGCTTAGTGGTGACGAATGAATTAATCATTTTACCTCTCTCAGCCTCCATTTCCACTAATGGAGATAATAATCATACTGTCTCTCTTATGGGGTAGTTATGTGAATTAAATGAGTTAATGCACATAAAACAATTCAATGCCCAACATGGAGAAATAGTAAGTATATCTTATATAGTAATTATTGTCTGAAAGCCATCTGGATACACATTAATATTTATATTTAGAAATAAATCAATGCAATGGTGTAAGAGATTACTGTAAAATAACTTCTATTGCTTTTTTTCTTCTTCTGATACCACTTTAGTGTTGCGATTTTAGAAGAACTGATAAACAAAAGAATACAAAGTTGACCCTTAATCCCATCACCTAGAAATAATCATTATTATTTTGATGTATATCTCTCCATACTGTTATTATATATTTATTTAAGAAAAATGGGAGTATATTTTATATGTTCAACAAATGCAGGATCTACTGTATTCCTAGTAGGTGTCAGGTACAGTCAGTTTTTTTAAGCCTGCCTTTCCTCCTTAATATATTGTGCAAATGTTTTCATGGCCAGCTTTGGAAGGAGTTTGTTAACGCCTCCCGCTTCCTCAGGGTTTCTTAGATTTCCATTGTCTTTTACAACTTCACTAGATGACTGAGCGTCCTGGAATTACATGTGAAGCTCATAAGGTAAAATTGACCAGAAGAGGCAAGGAGGACTGCGAAGGTGAAGAACACAGTGAAGTAATGGCAAGAAACTAGACTAAGAGTTCAGGATGCTGAGGTCTCCTACTAGTCTTAGTTCTGCCATGTAAGAAGCTCTAGCCTGCCTGGCCTGTTACACATAACTGGGGTGGAGTAGATGTTTCCCGAAGTTTCTTGATTTTCTGAAATACCATGACCCAGGCATTTGAGTGCTGCTGTGACGCACGGTGACACATGTCAGAGTAGAACTGTGCTGTATAGGGTTTTCAGTGGCTGATTTTTCAGAAGCAGATCACCAGACCTTTCTTCCTAGGTATTTCTGGGTAGACTCTAGCCTCCAACCTTTGGTTAGCAACTAAGCGCAATAACCATTTGCACCACCCAGGGTGCCTTCTATTTCCCACCCCTTGGGGTTGATATGTGCTGTTGGTGAGAAATGGCCAGTAGGTAATTGAGTCTCTAAACGTTGGTCTGGAAAGAATGGAATCCTTTATGCAAGTTTTTCTTCACATTAGCAGACTGGGATGAGTTTTAAAGCAGGTGTTAGGCTAAAGAGAATAAAAATTTTAAAAGAAAAGTGTTTTTCTGTCAGGAGAGAAGGGAAGAAACTGCAGCTGGAGGATAGAGGTAATACTTCTCTCGAAGGTCAAATGTGATATGTAGTCCCTTTGGGAAGGTGTAGCTCAAATGAAGTTAAATGTGCAAAAGTCAACACAACATCCCCTGTTTTTCCTTTGATCTTTCACTAATTTTCCGTAACCAGATATAGCCGGACCAAGATCTGGTGGAAAAGAAGCCACATAAAATATTTGCACACACAGTCTCTTTTTAATCCAAGGCTCCCTTTTGATTTTAGAACTTGGGCTTCTCTCTCTGCCCTTTTCCTTCTTCCAGAAGTTGCTTCCGGAGCTTCTGTTCTTGGATTAACTCCTCTCCTGGGTTAATAGAATTAAGGACGCTGCTGAAATGGAATCTGCCCCACTGCGCTGCTCTGAGGAATGGAAGCTTTCTGCCTCGTGACCTTTACCACCTGGTTCCGGGGCATGCTTTTGGCAGCACCTGTCTGCACCCCATGGGGCTATGACCTGAGCCCTCCAAGGTGTCTGCTTCTGAGATAGCTTGGAATCTTCACGATTCTGTGAGAAAGCGAATGCAATGATCAGCTCCCAAGTTAATCCCTTTGTTGTAAAAAGAGCAGAGAAGCTAGTGACAAATGGTGTGTTTCCTTATCCCTAATTCTTCCCATCCCAGCAGAGAGGAAGCCATTTAACAAGCAAGACTTTGCTGCAACTGAATTTAAGTTTATATGGTTATTTCTGTTGAGCAAGTCATGCTTTGGGGGACCCACAATATTTTCTGTTGTTTTTTTCAAAAAGCCACAGTGGGGTGCTGTAGCGACAGGATCTCACCATTAACTTTTCATTTCTTTGCTTTTGTTGGTCACTAAACATTATTTAAAAGTATGTTTTGGCTGACGAATAATGCTTTTGGATTGCATTCAGAATGCATAAACAGCTGTAGTAAAATTTGCTCTCTGGGAAAGGAAACCTGTGCCTGGGGGCCAGGTAGTACAGTGGGTTAACGAACGTGCCCTTAACCTTGGTTAGACCTGGGTTCAAATCCCACTGAAATCACAACTGATAGATGAGGTGTCAGTTCTGTTTTGGGTTTGAACTCCAATCACTTGCTTGTTTGTCCAGATTGCACAACTACCCAGATAATTTGGCCCAAATCGACACAATTGGCAGTTTCTACTCCCGGGAGGGCCAGTACTAAAATAGCAGGGGTGTCACAGGTCAGGACTGAAGTATATTGGCAGAGATGAATGGGGAAGTTAAAAGCTTACAAGAGCACCTGCCAGCTCGGAGCCGGGCTCAGGCCAATGCAATTATTTCCTCACTTTTTCAAGCACTAAATTTGGTAGTGGCAGGAAGAAAAAGTTTCTCGCAATCTTTACAGGTATTGTGCATGGAAGACTGGAACTGGGTTTAAAAATCTGCCTCCTTGCATTGCTAATGTCAGAATCTGGAAGGTGAAATAACCACGTTTGGAAAAGTTGGTTTTATCTTGCTCAGAATCCTTGGTGGGGGTCAGAGCTTGGTTTTTCTCCCGCTCTACTGGGCTTTCTTTGTATGTGATTTTGCTCAAGCCACTTATTCTGGGGTCTCTGTTTCCCTGCCTGGGAACTGGGAATCCCCTGGAAACATTATTTTGCAGGTTCTTAATTACCTAAGAGAAGCATCTCGAAAATGGAAATGATGTTTGCAAAATATAACTAATTCTCTGGGCAACAGTAATTGTGCATATGCAAAGTATTATTGTGAGAGGAATTGCTTGACAGGTTACCTTTTTTGACCCCCAACCTGTAATTTTGTAAGTTTGCACTGTGCTGGGTTTGTAATATTTCCTCTGAAGAAATCAACCGAAATTGGGTGACTAGACTACTAGGAGGATCCTACCAAAAACAGCATCCATTGGTGGTTGTGAGCATGGCTCTAATAATGAGCTCTTAACCTGTGTGAACCCATTTATGTTTAGGGGTTAACCTCATTGCCTGGAGCACGGTAATGAAATGCTCCTCTGGTTATGTTACCTCGTGGGCCAGCCCTTTGTACTGTGAGGAAATTATTGATGAATAGTCTGGATATGCAACAAAGCGTTTTCCATAAGTGCACAGTGGATAGCTCATTCTTCTTGCTTCTCTGTCAGGTTCATCAGCACCAGGACCGAGGAGAGACCTTTCAGTGCCAGCTATGCCCTTTCACTTCCTCTCGCCACTTCAGCCTGAAACTCCACATGCGCTGCCACCAGCACTTCCTGAGGACAGAAGCCAAGGTGAAGGAGGAGATCCCAGACACAGATGTCAAGGGATCTCCCCACCTCAGTGACAGTGCCTGCCTGGGGCAGCAAAGGGAAGGAGGAGGGACAGAGCTAGTGGGGACCATGATGACGTCTAACACTCCAGAGAGGACTAGCCAGGGTGGGGCTGGCGTCTCGCCTTTGCTGGTGAAGGAGGAACCCAAGGAAGATAACGGCCTGTCCACCTCCTTTACCCTGAATGCTGCCGACAGGCCCACCAACCACACAAAGCTGAAAGACCCCTCCGAGTATGTGGCCAACAGTGCGTCAGCATTGTTCAGCCAGGACATCTCTGTTAAGATGGCGTCTGATTTTCTCATGAAGCTGTCAGGTACTTGAATAGGGTTGTATTCTCTCTCCCTTTCTCTCCCAGTTTTCTCATCGATAAAATGAGCTGGTAAGACTAGGTGATTTCGAGGTTGCTTTACATTCTGATAATCCGTGCTTTCATGAATTTTCTCCTTGATTTTCCTTTTATTTTCTTCCCAATCCATTGCCTTGGTTGGGTCTAGAAACAATAGAGATTGTTGGTTTCCTTCTGATTTTCCCCCTTTATGGGGGAAATTGTTGTGGGGGAAAGGTCACATGGTAAGCCAGATTTTTGTCAGTTTCTCTGTGTGACCTTGGACACTATTTAACTTGTCTCTGCCCTGGGGTTTTTTTTTTTTGTTTTTTTTTTAAGTACTTGTGTGGAATATGTCATGTTGCATTATTCAAGTTCTTTGCCGTCTTAATTGGAAAGATTTACGAAGGACGTATATACAGAGAGTACTGTTTGCAAGTGTAGACTTAAAATTCGAGCAAATGATGAAGATAATCTTTGAACATTTTTAGAAAAGACATTCTTTTCTAACTGCCCTAATGCCTTCTGGAAAGAAGATGGAGTATACATTGTAAAAAATTATTCTTATTCATTGACATCTCTTTCTATCGCTATGAAATTAAATGTGCTGCTTCTTTATGCCTTTTTTTTTTTTTTGGTTTCTGTGCTTAAGTTTTACTGTTGAGCAGGCGGTGGGGAGCTGTAGAAGGAACGCGCTGTTTTTCCTGACTCTCTTTTGGAGTGACAAGACATGTTGCAGGATTGTGTTGCTACTCATTATGTTTTTCGAAGTATGATTTTAAATTTTAAAGGAGTTGCGGAGGGTGGGGAAAGGTCGGTTGAGAATTGGTTCTGTCTTTCAGTGAAGATGGCAGTCCCCACGATGATTTCCAAATGCCATTTCAGCACTTTGGAGATTGATAATACCCTTTTAAATGGAGAATAATTGGTCACCGCCTTCCTTTAAATGGACTGTGAGCCGCATTTCACTAAATGTCATTGCCCGGTGAATTAGAGGTTCAGCTTCACTCTGAAGTCCCTTTGCTCAGTGACACTTCATTTGGGTCTTTTGGAATATCCTCGTCTCCCCAGATCTTTGTCCCTTAGGAATGGGAGAAACTAGGCTGAGAGAAATGAGGAAAGATAAAGGATGGAAAATGAGGTGCCACAGAAATGAACTGAGGAGGAAAATAGAGCAGGGACTAATACAGTGAAGCACAGACCACCTGTAGCAGTAGTGAGCAAATGACTAAGTCACAGGAATTAAAATGTATCTGTCTGTGGCACTGAAGAACGGTGGGGTTCTCTACTCCTCTTCCCTCACCTTTCTGCTGCCATTCCATCCCAATCTAGGGGAAAACAGGATTTTAGAACTATTGAGTTTTATGTTTTAAAATCTTTGAAAAGTGTGAGGGGAAATGTATGTTTCCAGTTTTCTTTTTGTTACTGTGATTCTTTAGGATTTCACCTCCAGGAAAACTGCAGTTCTTCCTTGATGGTCTCTCATGCTGATGCTATAGCAAAGGGTCTCCTTTTCTGGGCTTCTATAGTGTAATCAGGAGCCCTGATGGCACAGTGGCTAAGTGCTTGGCTGCTAACCAAAAGGTCAGCTGTTTGAATCCATCAGCTGCTCCTTAGAAACTATGGGGCAGTTCTCCTTTGTCCTGTAGGGTCATTTTGAGTCAGCATGATGGCAGCGGGTTTGGTTTTGGTTATAGTGTAATCAAGGTTATAGTGTAATCATGGTACCTGGGAGGTGCAAGTGGTTTGTGCTTGGCTACTAACCAGGACGTTGGGGTTTGAACCCACCCAGCAGCGCCCAGAAGAAAAACCTGGCGATCTGCTTCCATAAAGATTACAGCCCAGAAAACCCTATGGAGCTCAGTTCTACTCTGTAAGGTTGCCATGAGTCAGAGTTGACTCCACACCAATGGGTTGTTTGTTTGTTTAATGGTGTAATCCCAAGAGATAGAATGCAAATGACACGTTCATTTGGCATAGTTTAGAAAAGAGGGCATTTCCTTACCTAACAGACAGAGAAAACTGAAAAGGGATGAATAACCTTTCGTAAAGGTTACTCCCGTTACTCCGTGACTTCCGGAATTTTTTAAACCTGAGGGAGAGTAGGGTGAGAGGGAAGGTGAGGAAAGGTTTAGTTTTTGGATCACACACTGGTGTAGGACATGCCGCTCCTGCCCAGCCCAGTTCTGAGCACCCCACATCAGGCCGTGATTAACTCCAGAGCATAGGATCAGGCTTGTGGCTGCTGAGAGCCAGGAATGCAAACAGGAGTGACACAAGGGGAGAAATGGGTTGTAGGCTGGGGTGAAGGACTGTACACCCAAGCTTCCTATTGTGATCTCTTTTTTCATTTCTCTGTTGAGAGGGAGTTGTTTATGGTTTGGCAGTCAGTTTTTACTGACTGATCAATTGGCATATGAAAACAGATAACAGATGTACACTCTTTATGCAAAAGGCCCATGCAGCTATTTTATGGTGGCTTACTAGAGGTCCTGAAACCTGACTTGTATGCACTGTTACCTAGCAACCTGTTACAAAGTCACCAGGGAGTGAGACGCATCGGTAATTTTTTTGTGTGTGCGTATTTGGATGTAAATGTAAACTTGGTGGCTGTGGCAGCACAGCCCATGGAAGGAGAAGGTGTGTTAAAAAGAAAAAAATGTATTTTCAGGAGAGATTTCTTCTTGTTCCACCAACTCTGTGGTTGGCCGGCTCTGCATTGATAGCTGCTTGCTACCTGGCTGTCTCTGTGGATGTGATTCATGGACAAGAAGGCCGAATTCCACTGAGCTGCGGCTGAGTTTTAGCTCTTCCCATCATCAAGGGTAGTGAAGTAGTGGTTTGCGTCGGACCTTGTCCTTTGGCATCATAACGGCGCCATTGTTCTTGAGCCGAATTTTGAGCTGGGCTCTGCAGTGCACCTGCTGGTACTGTTGGGTGCAGCTGTTCGTGGTTGCCGAGTCTGTGAGCGTCTGTGCCAGCCAGATCGCTGTCTGCACACCCGGAGCACAGTGACGGATTCAAGCGTGTAGATATGTACTTGTTTCAGAAAGAGATAGAAGACACTTGATTCTTTCTTACTGAGTTATTAAGGGAAGTTTCTCTTGCTCCTTTGACTAAAACTAAGTGTAAAATGACTAAATGGAACCCGGCGGGGTTAAAATCGATGGATGGAATGTGGTTCTGAATTGGCTCGGAATCCCCTTTTCTGAGGTTACCTAACATATGTGATGGGGTCTTGGTGGCACAATGGTTAAACGGTTGACTGCTAACCAAAAGGTCGGCAGTTTGAATCTACCAGTCACTCCTTGGAAACCCTATGGGGCGTTATGCTCTGTCCTGTATGTCGCTATGAGTTAAGAATTGACTCAACGGCAACGGGTTTGATTTTTGGAAAATATGTGATTGTGAAATAAAACCCCTTTTCTAAACTGTCAGCTATTCTTCTGACTGAACCCACACTTAGCAGTCCTTGGTCCTTCAAGATTAATGTTTCTCCCTAGAACCAAGGCTTCCTTGGCTCAGCACCATAATCAATTCAGAGAAGAGCACGGGGCAGCCCCTATTGTTAGATTCTGCGCCTGCAGAAAAAGAATTTTGTAGACTTTCTTCAGGGTTTGGGCCTAGAAGGCAGGCCTTTGATTGCTACCAAAAAAACCCCAGGCCACCCAGTCGATCCTGATGCATGGACACCCCATGTGTTTCCAGAGTAGAACAGTTCCATAGGGACCTCGTTGGGTGCTCTAGCCCTACACTCTTGTTTTTGTGGCTCTTAGAAGCCAGAAGATGTATGCAGATCATTACATGTGGGGCAAGTGGTCCAATGGTCGTGTGATGGGGCTGTCCAGGGGAGGGGTGCTCCTCCACCATGGTACACTTACCAAACCAGTTGCCTTTGAGTCACCTCTGACTCATGGTGACTCCATATGTATGTCATAGGGTTTTCAGTGGCTGATTTTTTGGGAGTAAATCTCCAGGCCTTTCTCTCAAGACACCTGTAGGTGAATTTGAAACTCCAACGTTTTGGTTAGCAATCGAGCGTGTTAATCATTGGTAGGCTTAAGTTCCTGCTAATTCTGCACCTCCTGTTCCGTGTCCAGTGACAGTTCTTCACCTTGGCTGCACAGCAGACTTACCTGGGAGCTGTTTAAACATTGCTGGGGCCTATCCCACTCCCGAAGGAGCCCTGGTGGCACAGTGGCTAAGCACTTTGCTGCTAACTGAAAGGTTGGCGATTTGAACCCACAGCTCCTCCAGGGGAGAAGAATGTAGTAGTCCGCTTCCCTAAAGACAACAGCCTTGAAAACCCTATGGGGCAGTTCTACTGTGTCCTATAGGATCACTATGAGTCAGAATCGACTTCCCGGCAACGGGGGCTATCCCGCTCCCTGCAGTTATTATTTAATTGGTCTGGGGTAGGGCCTAGACATTGGTATTTTCTTTAAAATCCTTAAATGATTCTAATGTGTAGTCAGGACTGAGGGCCATGGATGTGGAATATAAACTTGGTAACTAGTACCATTTTTTTTAGTATAGCTATGGTTTTCCTTCAGTACAGCTGTCTTCCCTTGCTTTCCATCTCACACCATGAAAGGGAGCCTGGTGGTGTGAGGGGGCTGAGGCATTTCACCATAGGTCACAGTTGACATGGAGGAGAGGCCTGGGTGAGTCATATTCAAGGAGTCCCGTGGTTTTCCTCCGGGGCCTCATGACAGGAGAATTAAAAGAAGCATGTTAATGTTCTCCCATTAGAAAGTCTCCAGACTCAACCAAAGCATGGAGGAGCTGGGTGGATCATTAGATGCCTGATTAAAAGTTGCCTGCGATGGCCTTACGTTATTTCTCTTTCTGAAAACTACACTTTTCAAGATAGAAAATTTTATTCTAACTCTCCAAATTATAACCAAGCAGTTGGCAGAAACTTGGCACCTCAGCTGTTGGCTGTGAATATCTTTTTGTCCCCCGGTTTTCCAAAATAAAAGATAGAA